GAGGGGAGGACGGGAACTCCGGCGTTTTGGCGAGTCACCACGCTCCGCTTGTCTTGTCTTTCCCCAGTGGGATGACTTCATGGAACTGGGCAATAGCATCCCCAATTCTCAGCTGGACCAGATCATAGCAGGGCAGAAGGCCAATCAGTGTGCCGTGCTCATGTACACTTCCGGGACCACGGGCAACCCCAAGGGGGTGATGCTCAGCCATGACAACGTAAGTGCTGGCTCTGCCGACAGTGACATCAGAGTCCCTTCGCTCTGGGCAGTGGCCTTCGGGGTGTTTTGGTTCTTGACCCACAGGGGCAGGGTGGCACCCAGAGGTCTAGCACGCAGACCTTAACCAGCAGGGCGTCTGGAGTCTTGCAGTCGCTTCCAAGGGGGGCAGCAGAGATCAGGGGTGGAGATCAGGGACTTTGGAGTGGACCTGGGTACAAATTCCGGCCCTGTGACCTTGGGCAAGACATGTAACGTCTCCAAGCCTCAGTTTCCTCATCTGTAAAATGGGTGTGATGTAATAGTCCCTGCGTCGTGGGTCGTTCTGAAGATGAAATGAGTTAATATTGGTCGAGAGCCTAGAGCCATGTTTGGTAATTAAATAAGTACGGGAAAGAGCAGTGACAGTTCCGTGTTTCGGGAGTAAAGCGGGAGCTGAGGTTTTGGTTCCCTCGAGGAAGGCTGTGTGTTTGGGGGACACTTCTGTATGTCTGGATGAAGTCCAAGGCCGATGGTAATTTAGATCACTGTTAGAAAAGAAAAGGGAACACATGCTAAAAGATTCCCTTTATAGAAAACCCTAGAAAATGCAAACTTATCCGCAGGGACCGAAAGCAGGATCAGCGGTTACCTAAGGATGGGTAGAAACCTAGCGACACGTGGGAACTCTGGGGGGAGATGAAAATGTTCACTGTCTTGACGGTGTTGACGGTTTCACAGGTATCGACACATGTCAGCATGTGTCAGATCATACCCTTTAAACTGTGCAGTTCATTATGTGTCAGTTATCCCTCTATAAAGCTGTTTTTTTTTTTCTCAAAAGAATGCAACGGTAACAGTTCACTTCTGTTGCACGCTCACTCCATGCCAGGCGCTGTTCTGAGAGTAGTGTAAACTTAGAAAATCCTCGCAGCGATTCTGTTGACTCGATCAGGTGGATGCCGTTTACGGATGAGAAAATGGAAGCCCAGAGAGGTTAATTCACTTGGCCCAGGTCACACAGCAAGCGACGCAGTGGAGCCAGGATTTGAAGCCAGGCAGGGTGGCTTCACAGTCCGCATTTTTAACTACACTGTAGGTAGACATGGGGAGCGTGTAAAGATGTCCAGAGATGCGATACAAACGTTTAATGTAAATAATGCAGAACAGTACACAGCACACAGTGATTTCTGTTAAAACTTTTGAAAAGGCAGCAAGCAACATGTAAGCTTTAAAAGCAGAGAAAAATCTGGCAAGACATGCACCCAACTGACAATGTTGGTTCCCCTCATGAGTTAGAAAAATTGCTAGTTTTTAAACGAAGCGTTTCTACCTTCTGAGAGCTTTTCCCTCCAGTCTAGCTAAATAATTGCTAGCACACTGGCCTTTGCCCGGCTGTTCCCTCGCATGGGGGTCTCTTTCCCAGAGAGCTACATGGCTTCCTCCTTCAGCTCCTTCCAGTCCCCGCTCAGACATGACCTCCTCTGTGAAGCCCTCCCTGATTTCCATGTTTAAAATAGCAATAATAAACCACCCCATTGGTCCCTCATCCTCTGGCTGCTATTCCTTCCTTCCTTCCTTCCTTCCTTCCTTCCTTCCTTCCTTCCTTCCTTCCTTCCTTCCTTCCTTCCTT